TTAAAGTTCGTGCCAAACGAACCGCTTTTGCCAGGTTCTCAAGTAGTCAGTAAATCAGTCAGTGGCCAAGCGGTCAGAGTGCGGTACAGGACAGCCTGGTGAAGTCTACAAATTCAGGGGTACTGTTTCCTGTTGGACGGTCAGAGTGTAGTACAGGGCAGCCTGGTGAAGTCCACAGATTCAGGAGTACTGTCTGCTGTTAGACGGTCAGAGTGCGGTTCAGGACAGCCTGGTGAAGTCTACAAGTTCAGCAGTGCTGCCTGCTGTTGGAAGGTGAGTTGTTATCCAATAAGAGTGATGGGTTGCGTCCTGCCATGCAAGGACCAATGTGTTTCAACCTGCTGCGAAACTCGAATTTGAAATCGTCCAGCGTGTCCTCGGGGTTAAAAAGCGTCAGCAACTAAAAAGTCCATTGCCAGCGTAAATATAATGCTGCCCCAACAACTTCCTATCTTCTTGTCTTTATCTGCCGAAATGCAGCATTATTGTAAACGTTGCTTTCTCTATATATGGCCCGAAACATCCGTCTTTGTTGTCCTTTATTGCAGCAGCCATAAGCACACGATTCATGCGGATAACAAACAGCTGAAGAGCATTTTGGAGCAAAACACTCTGCAAACCGAGTCATGATCACCTTGCAGAAAAGCCAATCGATGCATGCAAAATGTCCGCTCGATTGTTATGAAGACGGCGGGGCCATTGGCTGAGGGTCTGGATGATTTAGATAGCTGTTCGCCGCCGGTGCCGACGCGAACGCGAGCGCAGCACGACCAGCCATATGTCTTGGTTTATGGGTGAGCATTCCTGACAACGCGCCAGGGCATAAAGGGAGTTATCACCGGGGCGGACCTTTGTCGGGACAATCAGTAATTGATACACCCTTTACCAGTGTGCTGCAATGTTTTTCATATTCATATACGGTGTAACATGACTCCGATTTGGTAGATTAAAGGACAGATACGAAGCAAAGGTGCTGCAAGCAGTGATTTATATAGCTGCTATCAAAATGTATGTAAATATTGTGTGTATTTATAGCTGTTCAGCTTGTTTACTCACTGCATGCACGATACAATGTTTAATCTGTTGGATACACCAAAAGTCGACGTTAGCAAGCACAGGTGTAATGGGGATGTTTTTTTTAGAGCCGCATTGGATCCATCCAATGCTCACAGCCAGACATGTTTGATGACCTTTTTCTCCAGCTCATTTCATTTCACGTTGATATAATGCGAATCTAATTATGCAAATGGAAGCAGCGACAACTGACACAGCCGCCCGCTCTAAATCATAATTTACAACGGTAGGCTGGCGCTGCAGCAGCAGTAACGCCAACAGAACGAGCATTGATTTATGAAATATCGACTCGTTTCGCTGTTCTTGGAGCGCGCCCGTCCATTGATCCTCGCAATGATTTGCGACGCGGGGTTTGAGCCGGTTGCGAAGATTTGCGCGCGGTGTCAGGTTACGGAGCGCATCGGTCGCAGCGAGGGTCTGTTCGGTGGTCCGGCCTGCTGCCAGCCTGGCGCGGAGTCCCGGCGTCCCTGACTGCCCGGGCCCGGCCAGCCCCCAGTCGCACAGGCCCGCCGCTCTGGGGCCACAACAGCCAATCTGTCAGCGCCAGGCACTCGGGATGCGCCGTTTTTGTGTCGGCCTTCAGCTCGTTTGATCTATCTGTCCGACTCCAACAATGCGACGAAAGCACGCGGAACGTCAAAACACACTCGCGCCAGGGGAACGGAATGAAAACAAACAATGACGGACGGAAGCGACGTGGTGCGGGCTTGTGCATCAACTCGGGCCTTGGCGGATTCCCGGCGACGCGGACTGCTGATTCGCTGGATGGAGCACCGCTTCACGTTTCCATACTGTTCATGGCCCACCGCGGAGCGACCCCAGCTTACCGTCCCTCATAAAGAATGTGAGACAGCAATCTAATCGGATGCAGCCAAACACCAAGCTAGCAAGTGCAATATGAAGCCAACGAAAAAAAAGAGCAGACTGGCGATCGGAAAGACAGGGAAGTATGCCTTGCAAACTGTAATACATGCATGGGCCAAAGGAAATGCATCTGACCCGCCGTCTCGCGTCAATGGCTCGAATGCTAAGATACTATTGCAGGACGCTGGTACGCTTTGAGGCCATGGGCACGTTCTGGAACATGACAGGTTTTGTCTGCCAAAATTCCTCTCATTTTGATCGCATGTCTAATCAGGTCACATTTTGCCATTCTGCGAGGATTATATCACTCCAAGAATTACCGGAACCACCCTCGCTATATATTCTTCCCACTCGTACCTAGAAGGCTCGTCGGCTCCAGCCCGTGGTCGCGCTTACAAAGAGAGTTATTAAATGTTGTTATAAGTTACTCGAAGGTTTTGGGACCCATAGTTACGCTGGCTCCAAGGCTCCAAGACAGTCAGAGTTATCCATGTAAGAACTCTTCATTGCTACATAAATCAGACACTGAGTTTGCGCAGCGAAAACCTCCATTTGCATACATTTTTGTGTGTTTTGAACGTGTCTCGGATTCCTAAGAGGTTTGTTGCCACATGCCATCCCAGTCAATCGCCGACAGCATGCATCCAGCTAATCCAGGTCGTTTGCCAACTTTCTGTTTGTCTTTTGTCAACTGCCCACAGCTCTCCCACCACCGGCGTCGATTTGCATCCAATCTGTCTCATTGGTGTCACTGAGAATGGCAGCATTCGATGTCCAACAGGACCAAACGCACGCAAGCACGTGCACACACAAACATACACACACACACACACACACACACACACACACACACACACACACACACACACACACACACACACACACAACACATACGCACATACACACACAAACACACACACACACACATACACACACACACACGCACACACGTAATGATCAGGACCATGTCACAGGTATAATACGCTGTCGAATCTTCCATTAGAACGTGCGTTATACAACTCGAGAGACAATGCCAGCGAAAAATGGCTGTCGTCGTCGATGCGCCCCTAACAGCTGTCAATACCAGACCACATGCAACTATACCTCAAATACAGCTTGCTACGGCCCTGGCCGAGCAGACTGCGTGCCGCTCTGGCCAGAGTCGGCCCCGCTCCACGCCCTGACCCTGACCCAGAGGGCGCGCCGCTCCGCTGAGCCACCCTCCCGTCCGCCGCAGGGCCGAGGAGGCTGAGAGCGGCCCACGGCTGCGACAGGAGCTGGAGCGGCCGAAGGTCAAGACCCGCTGCGGCAGAGACGTCTGCTTTGTTGTGGTGTCGCTCACCACGACAGTATCCTGGAGACCTGACCCGCGGTCTCGACGTCAGGCTCGGCCGAGCACTGAGACACTACCTGGCGTAAATGCCGGTTCTCCTCTTAGCGCGTCGTGACAGACACGGGATTGCCTTGTTTCATGGCTCGTATGTGTTAATCAATAAGACGTTAAAAGGAGTGTTCAACATTTATATGGGTTTTGAGCCGAAATAGTCATCTTGCAGACCTTTTGGTACTGTTCACAATCCCTTCTCCCTTATCCTTCTTCACATCCAACCATTCACAATCCAATCCCTTACCCTTCTCAAGACCTAAGCCTCCCTAGTTTCTGCGCTACACAATCGCGAACATGAAAAATGTATACCGGGTAGAGTATTTTGAAGTCACCTTGGCATTTATGACGTCATAACGACGTCATTCAAATCCCACCATTCCATAAACTATGCAGCAATCAAGGCCCAGAAAAGTTAAAAGTGTCGAGGTGTTCATATCTGGCGTTCGTAAGCGCCATTTCCAGATGTAGCTGCCGTCAAACGGTTCTCAATCAATGTTGTGTAAACTATGATGATGTGATCAAACCATGTCGCATTGAGAAGCATATTTACTGGACAGAGAATTGTGCTGTCTAGAGAAGTCTTTTCAACTTAAAAAGCATAACAACAGCTATAAGTGAGCTTATTTCATCATTTCTGATGTTCGCTTCAATATCGTCAAATGTGAAACATCCCTTTTCAACTATGCCAACGGCCAACTTTGTAAGCAGGAACCTCAGCCTACCAAATGCAGTGGCATTTCAACATCAATTTGTCCTGAACAACCTGTGCCGTTCTTAATCTTGAAACAACGCTAGACTGGTTCGTTGTGAGCCATTTGGTTCTTTCTGACAAAAATGGACTCTGCCAAACCAAACTCAGTCGCTTATCTCCACCGCGTAACGTGTAAAGAAGGCACGTGCTGCTGCCGTGTGCCGTTCCGCCTGCTCCGCCACGCGGCGTGGCAACAGCACCGCTCTCTGGCCAGCGGTCGTCGCCGTCGACCAACCGTGCCTGGCGATCGCCCCCAGCGCCGCGCCAGGTGTCACATGACAGCCCAGCTGACACCGGACGTCACACCACGCCTGTGACACCTCAATTCACTCCCGGCTTCCCCGCGGGCGGCGCCGGAGGTGAGGGTAATCGGTGCGCGCCGGAACCGCAGCCATCACCGGACACGCGTGGGGCTCCGGCCCTGCGTCAATACATCCCTTCCGGCCGCCGGGGCGTCCCCGGCGCGGGGCGGGCCGGGCGGTCAGTGAACGTCGCGGTTCAGGGATGCCGTTACGCGGGGGCAGGTGTCTGCCGACGGGACGGCCGGCGCCTTTTTGTGTCGGGCGCCGGCGTCGGATTACGGCGTCTGGAAGCGGGCCTAGCCCCGGGTGGTCAGTCACGCCGCAGCCGCGCCGCTCGCGGCCGCCTCGCCCCCAGCGCAGTCTGCCGAGCTGACAGCGGCTGCTCCTCACGACCGTCCCCCGCCCTGCCGCGCCGCGCCGGTCTGTGTGACCCCGGGGGCGGCTCGCCCGCCCGGCGCGCCGCCTGTCGTGCGGCGAGACCATCGCGTCGGCTCGCAGTGCTGGTGGTCATTACAGTCCTTTCATGCCGGCCGTCTGTCCGGGTGATAAGGGCCTTGTTCGAGCTAACGACTTCCGTCGCCGCCCATCGTCCCATTCTGGAGGCGGTCGGCACACTGCACGCCATCTCGAAGTGTTTATTCTTGAATGCGATTTGGTATATAGGACGATAATACGCTCCCAAGAACACAGTATATACACACGCACACGCACACACAAAGTTCACACGATCCAGGACATATCACAATAGCATGGAGTCGGCCCCTGAGTGCAGCGCATTTTGATATGATCTCAGCCGAGGCTGGCATGGAATGGACCGAGTCGTGCTGACGCGCTGGAATGGTCGCAGTCGGCCGCACCGCGTGGTCTCGGCCGGCTCCCAGTGAGACGGGCCGTCCGTCGCTACCGGAGGCCCGAGCGCTGGAGGTCTCGTCGGCCGCCCGGGTCGCCAGGTCGCGGCGGCGCTCCGCTCATCTGGAACAAACGGCGAGCTCGTTAACGGCGCGACTCGATGAGGCGTGCCTTGGACAGGGCAGATCACAGGCTGAGCTGATTACAAATGGCTGCCCGCTCCCACTCATCATGCCAGAACAGCTGTCGGGCCTTTATGTCTGCCATTTCGTTTTGCCCTTCGCAGCCATCACCATCCCGCCGCCTTATTACGGACTTCCTCACGAGCGCACTCAGCTTCGGCCAGTGGAGCCGACCTTTGGCCGGTGGCGCCGGGCGAGGTCAGCCGACAGTCTTGTCCCCTCCCCCCACCGCTTCCCATCCATCGGGACGCTGCCGGCCGTCAGACCGGCGCCCAATCACCATCCGTCCTGACGTCGCACGCCGGCGGGCTGCCGCAGTACGGCAGCTCGCACCACCGCTGGTTAGCACGACCGTCGAGCTGCGTTCTCTGGAGGACGCTCCGTTCCCGTCATCACGCGCGCCATGAAAACGGACGCTCCGGGCTGGACCGTAAATTGCGCTACTCTGGAAACTCGTGTGCTGGAAGCTAAAAAGTCAAACCCTAGCAAAGCGTCCAAGAGCGGCCGTCAGTTTCCCACGGAAGCGGGCAGCAACACTGATTGCAGTCCTGTAGTGTCGGTGTCCTACTGTGAAGTGGTTGCGGGCCGATTGGCGACATGGCGCCCCTGGGCTGCGGGCCTCACTGACTCTGGCAAGGGCAGCAGGCTGGCCGGTCAGGCAGACGAGCCGGTGAGACATCACCAGAGATGGAGCCGAGTGCCACCGCTCCCAGCCGTTAAGAACGATCGGAGCACAGACGAAACATGGTTGGAGCACAGTCAAAACACGGCCGGAGTACGGCCGGAACGCAGACGGAATACGGCCAGAACACAGCCGGAGCACGGCAGGAACGGACGGAGCACAGACGGAACAGGACCAGGGCACAGCCGGCAAACGGCCAGAGCGCAGCTGGAGCACAGCCGGGGAAAAGCAGGTGTACGGCCCGAGCACCGAGCCCCAGCAGGGAGCGGCCGGCGCCGCGCCGCCGTCGCACGTGACCGACGCGAGAGAGATGGACGAGCGTGCTCCGTAAATCACGGCCTGGCCGAGGGAAGCGTCTGGCCCGGCGGCAGAGACAAATCGGTGTACGGCGGCGCACCGCACGGACACGGCCGGCCTCTCACGCCGCCTGCGCCGCGCGACGTGCCCACCGCGGCGGCGGCGGCGCACACCGGGACAGAGCGCGGCCCGCGCGCGGTCGCGCAGGGCTCGGGAAGTCCGTCAGCTGTCCAACCTGGGGCGCCGCGCTTACTTCGCGCGGTGCTCGGCGGCTCAGGAGAGGTTCAACAGAGGTACTTCGGGGTACTGTGTAAGTGCGGAAAGAAACGAGTGTAGCCAAGTCATCTGCAGCCAGCCCTGTCTTCAGGGTTCCCCGTCTGCGCTCTCAGTACCTATTGTATTACTTTTTCTGTTCGCAGCAAGCAAATGTACAAGCCAAAACAGAATAGAGAAAGAACGTCAAGCCCCGCGAAACACTCACCTTTCACGCAACGCATATCAGCCAAGGGCACCAGGCGTTACTAGTGAGCGCTGTGGGGACTGCTGAGCATATTAAACTGCCACTGCGTTTGATTCCGATTAATCATGACTTGGTCACGTACAGTGAATTCGCACGCTTCAACGAGCATTAAACTTTTAACAATTAAACAAGTGATCTTGTTTATAACAATGGCCCACCCACCAAGTAATTCTGGAAACTGTACGTGCACACTTCTTTATATGCGTGACGTCCAGAAATTAAAATAATTTGCTTACCGATGGAAATCCTTATGACGGTGTAAAATATCCAACTCAGCCGGCACGTTGTGTAAAAATGCATGCCACACAATGCTCATGAATCAATTATCGATGGAAGCATTTCAAGCCCGCCGTGATATTTTCCGCATAAACCAGTTTGAAGTCGAGAAAAACCGGTTGGCATGCAGAAGCGGTTGACAGACAGTCGTCCCACAAACATCAGATGTTGATGGATTCCTATTCGTGACCGCGCCGTGGCAGAATATCGGATTCACGTGCCCCTGGCGCGATTTACAGGTCATGATCCACATAAATGCCACGCTCTGCCTCGCTCAAACATACGCTATGTGCCAACTGGAGAATTACATTACGTTCGTCATGTGATGACGTGCCGGCGACATAAATCGAGGGAACATATTTCACCGCCTGGAATATTGAAATCAGACGGAATGGGTTACACCGTACTTTAGCGTTGGGTTGGTTCTTTGAACCACTGCAAGTTCCGGGGAGTATTGGAGAGTCTTCCTGCACGCACAACGTCAGGCGTATCATCGAAGGAAGGGCCCCAGAGCCTGGGCAATGGAGTTACCGAGTCGCAAGGGACGCGGGGCCAGGGTTGGACGCCGGTCGCCGGTCAGGGATCACACGCTTCTATCGGCCAGTCTTCTTCGAATCCATGAAAACACCACTGCGCAAGCCGCCATCCAACCTTTCCGAAACGCTATCCCACACGCATCATATAGATCAGCGTAAGACGCGTCCATGAAATACCACATGTGGTGGCCTGAAGATGCCCCCACACCGTTCTGGTATAGATGACGCGAGTTGCATGTATCTTCCGCCGCCTCAAATTGAAATCCCAGTCATATTAATGCACTGGGGCTGTTTGTTTCGCATAACAATGAAGAAGCGAAATAAAAACTGATTATATTCGAATGCTATGCCAGTTTTTACGGTCGGCAGGCGAGATCCTCTTTGTACCTCTTCGGCTTAGATTTTATCATTGAAAAATGCGTGAAAATCATCTCTCCTGACCTTACGATTATTCCGGCGCCTGGCCAGAGAAATGTGGCGCTTTTTACTCGCGGAGCCAATCTTTTTGCCCCTTTCCTAACAAACGCGATGGCACACAAAAACCGGGCTGTCAAGAACGTCCACAGAATGGCCGATGTTCTTCTATGGCCAGAAGCTACACCTGATCTTCACCGGCACACGCTAAGGACTCTCGACCCGGCGTCAAGGCTTCCCGCTAAGACAGCCTGCTCCGCTGTAGGGCCCGCCCGGGGCACATGTGGGCACACGATGGGAACATGATCAATAGGTGGGGAGGCAGTCATGCCACTAGCGCATTTGTATCTCACAAAATGATATGCTAATTGCGGAGCCAAACTAAACATTGCACCCAACTCGTCCGACGAGTCTCAAGCAACAGTTCGTGATAACACCAACTTTCGACTTGACTGCACTAGTCGAGGCCAGGCATGCACGTTGCCATAGCAACGTCTGCTGGCTGGCGGTCGGCTGGCAAAGGCCCCGTTGCAAGTCCGTTAATATCGATTGTAAACAAGTCTCACCTCTCTATAGCGATTGAAATATTGACCAATTAGCATTCCCGCCAAAGAAATAAAGACGTTGTATTTACCTGAGGCTGGCGTCCCGTGGCGCTGTGGCTTCTGCAGCGGGCGGCGCGAATCGGCGAGCGATAAATCGCCAGGCGGCGCTGCCCTCTTCTATGCGCCGGACGTTTATGAAGAAATATAGAAGTGTGACTCCGGGGTAAACACAAGTGAGCTTGTTGGCCGCGGCGGTGCGCAGTTCGACCGCGTTTTTGTGCCGTCGTTTTTGCCTCCAGATGCAGGGAAGTCGTGACTAGATGATACCATCACATCGCTTGCCGGCGAAAAACAACGCTTTGCGCCGGTAAGCTCTCCAAGCGGCTTACACGCCGCCGTTTTTGTGCGAGAGTGACGCGTTTTTCGGCAGCGACACCGCGTCGATCGGCCCGGGTTTGCACCCATCCGCCGTCCGCCACCTACCTCGTCCCCGCGGCACGCGCGCTCACTATTGCACAAAGGGCCGCCGCGTCGCCGCTGCTACACGTACTCGGACGAAGGCGGCGGCGGAGGCGGCGGCGGTGGCTCGCTCAGCGCGTACACGCCACGCTTCTGCGGTCCCTGCACGCGCCGGCTGGGCAGCAGCGGCAGCGGCCGCCGGTCCAGGCTCCCTTGCTCGGAGCCGGAGCGGTTGCCTGAGTCGCCCGACCGCTGCCCCGAGTCCTGCTCGCCGCGGAGGCTGGCGTTGTGCCGGCCGGCGGCGGGCGGCGCGCCGGCCGCCTCGGCGCCGCGCGCCCGGCCACCCGCCGCCAGCGTCCGACTGTCCAGCAGCCGGTACTGCGAACCGCGTCGCGTCGCCGCGATCATGGTGCTCTCGGGCGGCGGTACCTCCAGGTTGTCGGGCAGGTCGGCCGCGTCCGGCAGCAGGTTGACGGGCACGGGCTGCCGGCGCGGGAAGAGGAGCGCGCCGCGTGGCGCCGGCACTCGCTCCGACACGCTGGCCAGCGGCCGGCGCCGGCGCCCGCTGCTGCCGCCGGCTGGCTCGCCGGCCGACACGTCCGAGTAGTAGGCGCTGCTGTGGGCGGAGCCAGCCGAGCCGGCCGACTCGCCGGCCGGCTCCAGCAGGTAACCGGCGTTCTCGTACGTGCCGTCGGGCAGCAGACGGCGCGGCTCGCCGATCTCGCTGTACGTGTTCATCAGGTAGGTGCGGCAGGCGGGCGCGCCCTGTGACGCCACACTGTTCAGCTCTGCGTACACGGCGCTCTCTTGGTCGGGGAACGTGTACGGCTGCTCGACGTAGCCGGCCTCAGAGTCGCCGCCGCTGTCGGGCGAGTGCAGGCCGGCCCCGCCGCGCGGCCAGAGCCGCATGCGCGAGGCCGAGGCTGCCACCGCCGCGCCGCCGCGCCCGCCCGGCGGCTTGGAGCTGGGCACTGGCGGCGCCGTCTCCTTGGGCCGCTCCATTGCCACGAGCGGACACAGACCTGCAAATGGAGGGACAGTCAGGGCACAGCGTAAAGCCCCGCGAGCTTTGCCGGCCCGCGTGGTGAAACATATCATCCTTCTGACGGCTTGTGCACTACGTCCCCTGTTTTGAACGTTGGCATACTAGCTTTGTGCATTGCCGACATGCAACTGACGTAGCATACCACAGCCCCGATAGCACCCAGCTATCTCCACCTCTGTCAACACGACGGCACGGGTGGTGTGATAACCTAGGACACTGCATCTCGTCGCAGCGGCCCACGGCAACAGCCACGGCGTGACAGCTGGCCGCTTCGGGCGGCTCCAGCTGCCGAAAAACCGGACTCACTCCCAGCCATTTTGTCATTCGGCCGGCTAATCGGCGTTTAATTAGCCGGAGTTTCCGAGACCGGTTCGTGGATTACGGCCTGCTGGCAGGGCGGAGCGACGCTCCGGCCCCGCGCGGCGTGACCGTCGACCGGCGAGCGTGTCTCTCGATCGGCGGCGGCGGTTCTGGCCTGCCGGCGGCGCGCCTGAGCCCGTCGGCCACGCTCGCGAGCTTCCAGCTCCGCGCTGACGAGCTCCCAGCTCCACGCCGCGCCGCCCATTAACGAGCGCGGAAAGCTGGCGGCACGGCGGCGCCGATAAATCTTCGGCTCCTTATTCGGCGCGCCCCGTGAAGCGGCGCGTCCCCACCCGGTTATGGACGACTCAATCTTGGGCTTGTTCGCCCTTATAATTGGCCGCTAGGTTTCTCCGGCGGCGAGGGCTTGGTAATGAATGAAATCGTTTGCCGCAGCGGGGCCCCGCCCGCGCGACCCGCGCAGGCTATGAATATCAGTCCCTCCTCCCGGGCACGTGAATGATATTTCTCCCTGTCACAGTCTCTAAGCACGAACATTCTCTCTCCATTCCAAAGCCCACAGACAACAAACGATATGCCTCCTGTCACAGGCTCCATCCGCGAATGCCGCACTAACCGGCGACAGTGCCGGCCATTAACGTCACGCTACGCGACCTGATCTGCCATGCACTGACGTCAGCTGTCCTGGGACCACTCCACAGTCATGCTCGTCAACCCTCCTGATCGCAGTCCACTGTCGGCATTGTCGTGGCACCGTACCGTCTGCTACCAGGAATAACTAAGCTGAAAGAAGTCGGGGGACGGAAACGTTGACTGCATGAAATTAGAGGAAGGTAGCAATAAGTATTTGAAAGGGAGAAGGAAAACGGTGTAGTCATTATTATGGATACATTGTGGGTACTTTTGACAATCCCCGAACATCTCAAAATCTCAAAATAAGAACAATTCTGGCGCATGTGCGTTCGTCGTGTACTTTAATAAATATCTTGAATTAATATAATTAAGGAAGTCTATTTAATGAGCCATGTCACACGTGCAGCATATTTAATGTCAGCATCATGTCACACGTTCAGAGAGCAGCATATTTAAGATATGCGGCATTTGACTCATGTTCAGGCGGAGTCACAATTTCCACACTGCTTTTGACGACATGACTTTGCGCAACACAAGCAGGGGCAGCTCACGCTGCACACCTCTCGGACCAGACGGAGCCACGTCCATTGCAAAGCATCACTTATAGTTCCCATTGGTTACGCACGGCACGAACGTCTCCCCAAAAAGCACTCATCGGTAATAGTTTAATCACGTGACATAATACTGAAGTTCTAGGCCCTAGCGGGCGTTGGAACTGCAGCTTCAGAGTGTCGAGCTGGTCTCCAACCTCAGCCTTGGAAACAAGCGCTGCGGTAGGCCGTCCTTGTGAAATAATTGTCGATCGGCCTATGGTTGACTTGCCTTCTGGATCGGCCACTTCATACCATGTTTGCAGTCTCTGCAGATCATCCCAGACCCCGTTCGTAAGTGCGGCCGTTCGGCCGGCCAGCCGGTCACGGAGTCCATATGAAGCAGGAAGGCGTCGTGTCCGGGCACAAGAGCCGTGGTGTTGAGCGCAGAGCCTGGATTTACGGGCCCCCAATTCGGAGGGGCCGCGGCAGTCCGCATGCTCCATCGTAAACAACAAAAGGAGGACCCGGGCAAGCTTGAGCGGCTATAAATGCGTCCAGCCGAGCAGGCCGGATAAAAGAGCGTCCCTAAGCGAATGGGGTCTGTCCGCCTGTGCCATGTGAGAACGGTCGCCTCGATAGCCCTCTTCCGGCAATCGCTGGACGAGGCGTGACCGCAGACGTATTTACACCTTCGGCCGCACTTCTCCCCAAGTCGATTTTTACTGCGCTGCTTTGTGATGCTAATCCATCATAAATTCTTTCCTTTTTCCTTCGCCTTTACGACGCTGTTCTCGGTTTATGCCGACTATCCTTTTCATACCGGGGAACTCGAAAGGGATGAGGGAGGACTTTGGCCCATTGGCGCCGCGCGTGCAAGGTCCGAGTGTTTGGAAGGTCACGCCGCGCACTTGACGCTCGTGGAGCTGGGAGCAGTTCCGGGGACGAGTGGCGCTGGTATTGGGTTCCAACACCAGCTGCAGCTGCTGACACCAGCAGCTGCCACCGCGCGGCGCCGCTCCCATCTTCAAATGGCGTGCGAAGAGTGATCATTAAAGAAAATGACCGGGGTGGGCTTTCAGGGCCGCCGCTATCAAAGGTGCGGGAAAATTGCTTCATCAGGAGCTACTTGGTCAAAGAACACACCAGTTACGCCGATAGCCGACCAGAGGCCGACAGAAGCGTATCTTCGACGCACGGATTTCAAAGGCGCTCGCAATGGACTATATCTGTCATACATCAGGCATCAGGCATCCGAACATCCGTCACATCAAGCGATGCTCCGCGTTGTTATCATCGAATTCGGAATCCGCTTTGCCAAGGCAGGCCATCTGGTACGCGCGCAGATGAAAATCGGCCAGAATCTGATCCCAGTGGCCTGAAGTTTGTACATCCAAGTACCGATATAAATACGCCGATGACGCCTAAAGAAAATCCATGTAGGTGTGGTCTTCTTACCTTTCGATGGAAGGACTCGCCACCTGCAAAAGAAGAAATATTTGTTAATTGTGACAGCGAGATAATAGAAAAACCCTTATCGGGGAGCATACACTGATGCGGGACATTCCCTTCGATGACACTAGTCTTCGCTTGGACTCCCTCCTACATATTCCATAAAGAGATGTTCAGTTATGGTTCAAACTGGTCAGAACAGAAGATTCTACCTAACTGGGCTGGCCATGTTGGGTGCCGGCGACAGAGCTGCGGGGGTCTAAGGGACATTTCAGTGGGTGTTGCTGCCCGCGCACCATATGCATAGCAGCCAGCACAGTCCACAACAGGCAGCCCGCGAAGCAGACGCGCCGCTTCGGGGCAGATTTCCGTGTTGCGATGGGAGTGTTTCCATACAATTCAAACTCCAGCGTAAGTGTCATCTGTACAAAGGATGAATAATTACACCCTATGGTTCCGCGCTGAATATGAAAGAGGGTGGAGCACGGTGGAGAGCCATTGTGGCCTGGTACATATTGTGCTGTTTTATGCTCAGCGCAGCAACCATGCCTGCGGAAACAAGGTATTCCAATTCTTCATTTATTCATTCACCCTTTGCTAAACGTGATGTAGGTATGCAGTTAAATTCATGCAATTAAAGCCTTTATTACGAGCTATTTCATTCGTGATTTACTAAGCCTTTAATCAAGATCGAATCACTTGGGGCATTGTTGTCTTAGCAACTGAAAAGAAGCATTGGAAGCTCACAGCTGATGTAAACAGATAAGGAAACAGCCTCAGGGAATTACAAACGTTTCCAGACCGCATACGGTGGGCTTGTTCACACACATCCATCGAGTCAGCACAGGCACCCACCACGCACCCATGCGACCACTGGGCGAGCGATGATGCTGTAATTTGCTCGCGCTGAAGCGGTGCCATTACCGGCTGCTTAGAGCGCGCCGGGCCATCGGACCTGTTTTCAAATTTGTCCTAATTGATATGTTTCCGCGGTGACGGCCGGAGCGCGCTGCCTGGGTCAGCAGCAATTGCCAGGTACGGCCGCGGCCACTAAAAACAGCCGACGTAAATCACCGCCTGTTGGACACCCGGCCGTGCCAAATTGCCAGGCCGGCCGACGGCGCGGCCGCAGACCGAGCCGCCGGTCCCAACGAACGGAGCCGACAGCGCGCTGACGCCACCGCAAATGGACGGGGCGCAGCGGGCGCGCCCAGTGAAGACATCACGCGCCAGCGGGACGCACCGATGGATTTCAGGGGCGCGGTCGACTGTCAGGGCCGGCTGGCTGGCGCGCTTCACGTCAAAATCAGAGAGGAAGCTGTAGACGCGTGGGCGATGTGGATCACGGACTCGAAACAAAAAGCCGTTATGTCAGAATTGCATCATGTGGGCGTCAAAACGCGCCGTTCAGACCGCTCTAATCCCCGTGCGCCCGGTCCTTGAATGGCTCCGTTCCGCACGTCATGCGGCGGATGCCACGCCGTCACCGGGGCGCGATGGGCGCCACCGGCGGCGCGACCGTGACCGCGGCCCGAGGCGCGTCGGGGGACTGGTGGAGGGGGGGGGGGGCTCACCTGCGACACCGGATGATGACGACCATGGCGACGGCGCCCAGCAGCGCCGACAGCAGCGCCACCACCACCAGGATCGGTATCCATGACGACGAGGTCGACTCTGTAAACAGAGGCGCGGCGGGTGAGAGGCGATTCACGCGCGGCAGGAGCGGCGACTGGGGGCGCTTGAGACGGACTCCGGCGCGGCAGGACCGCCGGCGAGGCACGGGCCAGCTACGCACGCCCGGCCAGCGGGACAGCGCCGCGACGAGACGCGCCTGACAGGCGGCGACACGGGGCTGCACGTGTAGGACACGGTCGACAACAGAGCGGACCTCCGGGACAGGAGGGGCGGGGCGCGAGGCCCGAGCCGCCGCCTCTCCGCCCGCTGCACGGCCGTATTGTTCTGAGCACTTCACAGGTAAGCCGCCCTGTAAATCCCGCGTGATAAATAGCGGACCGGTTGCCGCCGGATGGCCAGATCGGCGGCCAGGGCCCGCGGAGCATCGGCAGGTGCGACACCGCCGCATGCGACGGTCTAGTGCAGGGCCAGCTCGGACAGAGGACATCCTTCACGACCTGGCCGCCTGTCACATCACGGCCGTGTAACAGGACGACAGCGCTGTGTGGACAGACGGCTCATGCAGACGGCTCACGCGATAACTGCGCTATTTTTAGCCGGACGCCGCTCAGTTTGCGAGAGATTCAGCGGCCGGCCGGAAAATAGACCGGCGGAGTAAGATCCAGGTCAAACTCGTCCCAGCCGGTGGGCTCTGGCGCGTTACACAATGGGAGTCTTAGACCCTCACGCCTTCTGATAGCCCTTTGTGCCAGGGCGCCAGCAAATTGAAACCTCATTGTTGATCGTCTGTATGCGCATCGGCCAAGAGTGAAAGGCACACCGATGAAAAACAGCTTCATGTTGTAATGGCCAGCAGTCTGTGTCTGTCACTTTGGAACGGCGTCGTTATCGTTATTCCTCGGGGCGGCCTGCGCACTTAAGTAGCGGCAGGTCCAAGGGCAACGCCCCAATCAGAGGTCTGTTGCGCACAGACTGGATATTGTTCTATCCCCCCTCCCCCTCCCCCACACACACAGCTGAAGCAGCAGGCAGCATTGTTCCGCAGACTAGCCTGAAGTGACCTTGTCAAGGTCAGTCCGGCGGACAGAGGCGCCCGTCTCATTTGAGTGAACTAGCCAACTACCCTCGGATTGTGTTGTCTGTGTAATAAAGTGTTTGCGGTCCAGATATGACAAATGGTACGAGGTGTGCAGGAGGTCGGGGCTCCGCTTCCGCCGAACGCGCCCGGTGGCCGCTGCCGCCCGGGGCCAGGCCGCCATTACACGCGACGACGCGCCACCCATTCCGGCAGCCAGCTGCTGCGTCTGACGTCACATCTCTCCCCATCACCCGACAGCGCCATCCGTCCGCTGCTTGTTGACGTTGTGATGCGCTCTGACGCCACAACCCCCTCACGTCTGACCCTTTGTCCGCTGACGTCATCGACGGGCGAATTTTGGGATGAAGCCGACGCGGTCCACATTGATTTTTCAATCTCTGGCGATCGGGCTTTATGGATATGAAGCTGGCGCTGGTCAAATGGACCTATGAATCCTCGGACCGGGCCATCCGACCCTCCCAGATGAAATGTGGCACAAGCGCCGCTTCCAGCGGCCGGCCGGCCGAAAGAGACATTTCGTCCAGCTCCAGCGCGCGCGCGACAGGCTTTTTCCTCGGGGGTCGGGCGCCACTCCAAGGTCCTTTACACTCGACGCGCTGGGACAATGCTGAACGCATAGCCGCGTGTCCGGCGCACTTCCTGCGACAGTCCCGGCGCGGCCGACGCGCATAGTGCGCCACAATCGGCGCAGCCGGCCGTGAGACAGCCCGATGCGCTAATCGGCGTACCTTGAGTGGGCGGCGCAGGATGTGCGCTCGTGCCCCCGCTGCACATAATCACGCATTGTTTGAGGAGCGTTTAGAATAAATTGCTCGCAAATTCTGTACGGAGGTCTTGACGGAATGAGGTAGCACTCGGCCCTGCGACACAGGCACTGCTAGTTAGGCGGAGCTTTGATGGATGGGGTTTACGAAACCTCACGCGATAACATCTCCTCATAAGGTTCGTAATTGCACCCTTGCTTCTTACAACTAGTTCGCATATTTGCACGGTTATTATGTGGTACAAGCTCGTAGTTCAACATGCCAGCGGTTCTGTAAAACTGCAAATGACGTCTGGTGCTCTGGTCATCGGGGGAGAATCCATTTAAGGCACACCCAGAATTGCTCCGAGAAACATTATACCGGCTAAGGACGGCTTCCTCTATGTCGCGTTGATTGCAGGAAGACGCTCAAGAAATCTTCAACATCTGCCCGCAATTTGCGATGAAATACGCATCGTCAGACGCTGTTAATACGGTCCCAGTGCGTGCCATCGCCGTCCAATTTCCGCCAGACAACGCGGGTTATGGCCACGGTTTGGCGATAATTAAAACAAAGGATCTAATTACCCGCAGTCGGCGCCGTTAAGGCCTCCCTGTTGCAGAGGCCACCCGCGGGCGGGCAACGTCGCTGATTGCCGCTGGATAGCGCCGCTGGTCTGGTTACTGTTGGACCCACCGACCACGTCGCTACTCACAGTCGATTCTGGATTCACCGACCACACCACTGATTGCTGTCGGGTCTCTGATGACTGGTGGTCGCGCGGAATAGGTCTCTGATGACTGGTGGTCCCGCGGACCGGGTCTCTGATGGCTGGTGGTCCTGCGGACCCGGTTTTTAATGACTGGTAGTCCTGCGGACCGGGTCACTAATGACTGTTAGCCCCGCGGACCGAGTCTCCGATGCCTGCTGGCCCCGTGGACCGAGTCTCTGGTGACTGCTGGCCCCACGGACCGGGTCTCGGATCTAAAGACCTCACCGGCCCTCGTGCTAACGAGACTGGACAGTGGTGGGCCCGTGGGTAGAGTGACTGCGCAATCACTGGATCTGTCAGGATTCCGACTGGGAGGCCCAGCCAACCCGCCGCACAACCGACGGGGTCTCGGCTCTCTCTGCGAACTTACCGGGCGGCTGACGGGCTCACCCACACTGACAGCACGTCACACCGACGCGGCGGAGCGCGGTCCACGCCAAGCGCTTCAAGAGAGGCAAGTTCAGCAGACGGGGCCATTCGCAGGCAGTGTGCCCAATTAGTCGGAACTAAACGGCGGTTACCTCGGAGTCCCGCACCAGGTTCCGCTAGGTTGATGACGTCACCGACAGGCTGCCGGCGGCACCGCGCCCCGCCTCATTGCACGTGACGTCGCGCTCCCGGGGAGACACAATGGCGCCCCTGTCGTGGTCGCCGCCGCTCGGAGCCGCCGCCGGCCAAACACTTATGCAAATGGAGCGGAGTTTGGTGCGAGGGCGCGCCGCCGACGACAGCCGGCGCCGCCCGCGCGCTCACAAAGGCGGCGCCAGTGGCGCAGCGCGGCGAGAGCGGCGCGCCGCGAACGCCGCCGCTCCAGAGTGTCCGCGGGCACGCGAGGCCCGGCCCGCCGCTGCGGCCAGCGCCCAGGGCTGCGCGACTGATGGCGTCTGCTCATGCAGGTGAATCGATATAATTAGCACTCCATCTGCGGACGGACTGCCGCCGGCCGACGCCGGCTACGCGGGAGGAGGACCCGGTCCGGGTGACCCTCGCGGCGTCAGGTCAGCGGCGCCGCTCGGGAGCGCATCAGTCCGGACTGACAGTTGTTCTCAGTTGGCTTAAATACAACGTCACGCGCAATTGATTGAGACGGTGGCGACGCGTTAATGTGCGCTTCCTTTGTCAGGATCCTGCTCCATCCATCGCCGCTTGGCACGGAACAGAGCTGAACCGAGTGGGCCAAGCTGAATCAAGCACGCTGAGTTGTCGTACAGCGTCGCAAGCCCCACGAGCTGACAAGGTTCAACGGAGTCCCGTCATACTCCCATACAGGCCGCTGGGCTCAACTACATACTAGGAGCTCCTACACTGGGTACGATCGGTCGCCAGTGTGAGCTTTAGACAGACCTGATCTTATCAGCTATCGGCCTGATCGCAGCGGATGCTGCCTGCTCTGACAAGCAGCCAGTGACCGGAGGGTCTGACGCTGTGCTGCGGCAGGGGCCGGCGGGAGGCGCTGGGCCGGGCCTGGAGTCCGCAGCTGGCTGGCTGGCGGCAGCGGGTGTGCGCCCGCAGCCGCCAGCACCGGCCCACGCCAGCCGGGCTCTGATTAATTGCTCGAAAATGAGCCGAGAACGCGCATCGACCAATCGGAATCGGGAGGGGGGGGGGAGGGGGTGGGGAGGGTGAGGCGAAGGGCGGGGCGGAGGGAGGCAATGAGGCTGTCTGTCGCCCTCCCCTCCCCACTTCCCTTCGCCATGCCGGCGTGATCGCTGGGGCCAGAGCGTTCTGTGGAGAGATGGACGGGGTCTGGACAAGCAGGCGCACCGACATAATTTGCTTTTAGACAGCGTACCCCAGCGTTTTGATCATAAGGACCTGTGTGATGAGAACTACGATCTGCAATCATTTTCCTACCAAGAACTGCTCAACATAGGTGCATTTCATATTCACCCCGCAATGCCATTAGGAAAGAAAAGGTAATCTGAGTAAGGTACGTTCCTGACGTTTCTGAAAGGTCTGCCCTTGAGCCGTTAGATTGGGTGATGAAGCGCTCAGCCTCAATGTTAATTAACGCCCCGGCGCCCGATTTGCCTGCCCAGTCGTTAATCAGGTGCTCATGCTACCTTAGGAATAAAGTTTGGCAAAAATGGTTGCGTTCCTCAATATGTGCTTGGCTTTAACAAACCGTCGCATTCTACCCCCATCCACGTTAAACACGGGCTTAGCTGCACATGCAACCCGTCGTGGAACAAGCTGCGCTTTTTTGTCGAGTCAGCTGCCTGCCTCTCCATACCCCGATCCGCACCCACATTGGAAGCATGACGGGGAAGAGTCCACGCAGCCTGAGAGTGAATATAAATGGAACGGGCAGCGCGGTCACGAAAATTCTAAGAACTGTTTGTTCATTTTCCGCCACATCACTACGCCCTGGACCTCGACTGTTTGTTATGGAGCCCAGACGGCCAATATTTGCCCGACGTATCTC